AGAGTGAAGTTCACGCTGTACTCAATCTCTGCAGCAGCAGCAGCAGCAGCAGCAACAGCAGCAACAGCAGCAGCAACCGCAGCGAGTTTATATATCTCCTTTCCCTCCTTTCTCTTCCTGGGGCCTCATATGAATTCTCCCTGCGCTACCTACCCCCTACCCCCTACGCCCTACCCTCTAAACCCTAAACCCTAAACCCTACCCGCTAAAGAAGCAACTAGAAAAAAGGAGGAAGCTGGGGTGTATATGCAGCTAGAAGAGCGCACCTGTATACCTCGCCGCAACCACCGCCTCAACGCGAGAGACAAGAGAAGTCCTCAGCCCGTGCGAGGCCACGCAGTCTACCAAATCAACCAAATCGTGCAGCGGATGCACCACAGACAGAGGATCAATACATACACTCTCACCAGATTCTGCTGCTGCTGCTGCTGCTGCTGGTGCTGCTGCAGCTGGTGCTGGTGATGATACTGCTGCTCCTTCGGCTGATGGTCCTGCTGCTCCTCCTACGCCGGTTGCTGTTGCTGCTGCTGCTGCTGTGGTGGCTGCTGGCAGCAAGGGGGGAGCTGAAGCCTCTAAAGCTGCTACCAGGGCCCGCGTTAGGACCCCGTACTCCGCTGGGGTGTCTGGACACCTTTGCTCTACAAACGTTGCGATGCTGCAGCAGCAGCAGCAGAAGCAGCAGCAGCAGCAGCAGCAGCACGGTCACCGACGCAATATCAGCAATAGAACGAAGAGCAGGAACTGCAGCAGAAGCCGTATCATCACCAGAATCAGTGGCAGCAGCGGCAGCAAGAGCATCGCTATCATCAGCAGCAGCAGCAGAAGAAAGATTATAAACATAGCCTTAGCAGCAACAGCAGCAGCAGCTGCAGCAGCAGGGAGACCACCGGCATCCTCACCACGCGAAGCAGGTAAGCAGCAACGACAACAGCAGCAGCACTGGAGAAGCAGTTGCAGCAGCACCACGAACAGCGGCCGCATCAACAGCAGCAACAGCAGCATCAGCACCATCATCATCATCATAATCAGCAGCAGCAGCAACAGCAGCAGCAGCAGCAACAGCAGCAGCAGCAGCAACAGCA